TGAATTGTATCCCTCAGAAAGGTATGTTCATCCATGCAAGGTGGCACGTGCCTGTAATCCTGGCAACTCGGGAGACTGACGCAAGAGAAATCGCAAGTTTGAGACCTACCTTGGAAACTTATGTTACGGTTTGTACACGAGGTGTCCCCCAAAAGCTCATGTGCAAGACAAGGCAAGAATGTTCAGAGGTGAAATGATTAGATGAGAAGAGCTGTAGCCTTATCAGTGGATTAATCCACTAACAGAGATTAACTGAGCAATAACTGTAGGCAAGTAGGGTGTAGCTAGAGGAAGTAGGTCACTGGGGGCGTGCCTTTGGGGTTTATATTTTGTCCCTCATGAGTGGACCGCTCTCTCTCTCTCTCTCTCTCTCTCTCTCTCTCTCTCTCTCTGCGTCCTGGCCATCATGTCCGAAGCTGCTGTCCTCCTTCATGCCCTTCAACCAGGATGTTCTGCCTCACCTCAGGCCCAGAACTAGGGAGTCAGCCTACTGTGGACTGAACCTCTGAAACTGTGAACCAAAAATAAACTTTTCCTCCTTTAAGTTGCTCTTGTCAGATCTTTTGGTCACAGGAACAAAAACCTGACTATAACAGTTTCAAAATTAAACATAAAAAGGGCTGGGGATGTAACTCGGTGGTAGAGCACCCCTGGGTTTCATCCCCTGTTGGGGGGGGGGTGTTGAAGTCAGCAAGGGACCTTATTTGGAAATGGGGTTGCTGCAGATATAATTCGTTAGGATGAGGTCAGACTGGGGATGACCTGTTGTCCTTACAAGGGTCAAGGCAAGAGAACCACAGGGAGATGGCTGTGTGCTGAGCAAGGCAGAGGAGGGGAGACGGAGCTGAGGCCAAGGAGCAGACGGTCCAGCGGGCTGCCAGAAACCGGAAGAGGCATCAGAGGATCCTCCCTACAGTTTCAGAGAGAGAGGGCCCTGCTGACACCTTCATTTTGGACTTCCAGTCTCTGAAGTGTGTGACAACAAATTTCTGTTGTTTTAAGCCAATCGGTTTGCGGCAGCTCTGAGAAACTAGTACAGACCCTGAGGACCTGGGGAGAAGGTCCCCCGGGAGCTGGCAAGCTTTTAATGCCTTTTCAACACTTGCTAATTTTCCTTGTTACACAGAGCAACGGGCCCTCCTCTGGCTAAGAGCTTTCAGCAGAAAAGAAACCTCACTAAATTTTGCTAGTGTTGTTTGACTTCATTATATTTATTTTTATGATTGCTATCTTTTTCTGGCAAGTGATAACTGGTTTCCCTGTTCAACAGCAAAACAACATTTCCTTTTCAGATAAATAGATTAAGTTTTTAAAAAATGAGTTAATTTGAAGAAAAATATTATGTCACATGAATAGGAGTGGCACAAAAATATGGTAAAAAAAAAAAGGAGAGGTGAGGATAGTAATTGAAGTTTGGTACATACTGTCTTAAGGAAAGTCACTCTCTACCTCCCTTTAATGTCCCAAATCAAAAATGAAAAGAATACGGAAATGAAAATGACAATACATACAAAGATTATGACATGGGCCAAGTTGTCCCCTCATTTTGCCTTTTCTCCTTGGGAGCCAGGACCTACAGCCAACCTCCCTCGCTCTTGTCACCAGAGAAAACCAATCTGAAAAACTAGATCCCACTAAATTCGGAATCAGAGGAGCTAGGTGACGGCCCCATCACTGTCACTAACATGAGTGCCTTCGGGCAAATGCCTTCGTCTTCCTAGACTTTAGCTTTCTCTCTGCAGGAGAGGACAAGACACTCTTTAGGGTCTCTTTTCATTCTGAATTCTGTTTCTGGGATGTTACTAATTCAGTGAATTTCCCTCTCAGGGAAATACATTTAAAAGAGCCCCCAGGAAGGGGCTGACTGAGGAAATTCATGGGAGTGAGTTCCCAGTAGTGCAAACCCAGGTTGAGTAGTAGATGGGAGAAAGATATATTTTAGGATGGTGGGGAGGGCCATTCTAAAACCACACAGTCGGCAACCTCCGTCTCTACACATGGCCAGCTTCACCCCAGATTACAGACTCCTTATCATCATCTCAGACAGGCAGACACACTCACACACACACACACACACACACACACACACACACACAAACACACACAGCCTGAATCTTCTCCCTTGTTACCACCTTCCATTCTGTCAGGAATGAAGGAGCCAAGCCAGATGCTGCATTTTTAATTTCTGAAAAGCAAAATAAAGATATTTACTTGTATGTACATTTGTACAGAGAGAGAGAGAGAGAGAGAGAGAGAGAGAGAGAGAGAGAGAGATGAGAGGTGGGGGCAGGAAAGGACCAGGAAGAAAAAATCAGCTTTGACAACCTAATAAATGTCAATTTCTGAGGGGGGCCGAGTTCGAAGATGAATCCTCAGCATTTTAATTGGAGACATGATGCTCTCACCAGGCCGCGGCCCGCCTCTCGCAGATCCCCGCACAGATAGCAAGGCCCTCGTCTCTCTAATGGACAGGAGGCCTCCGTCCGCTGGGATTCGTTTCTGGGATATCAAGATGCAAAGGTGGGGGATTCCAGGGGATTCTGATGTCCCTCAGAGGGGAGAAGGAAAGCAGCAGGACTCGGCCCCAAGGACAGAGGAATCTGAGCAGCCACAGGAACGGTGCCCACGCGGTGCCTGCCATGGAGGTGACCAGCAGAGACCAAAGTCGCCCTGACCAGTGGAGCTTCCTTCCCACCAATCGTCCAGTCAGAGGGCTCCTTTCTGATCCAGAGACACTACCTACCCAGGCATGCCGGGAAAGGGAGGAAGAGCCACAGGGACTCCGGCAGGAGATGAGGAAGCCAGGGGTCTCCCAGGGAGAGGCTGCCCCACCCGGCTTGGAAGGGGTGGCTCTGGAGCCAGGCTGCCTGGAATCACAGGCCAGCTTGGACCAAGGTCTTGACCTTTCTGCGCCTCGATTTCATCATCTGTAAAATGGAGACCATCACAGTCTCTACCTCAAAGCCCTGTGAGAGGATTGGGTGGACCAAGACCCTGGTACACTCACACTCACCCCCGTATCACGAAGGTCAAGGTCATTCAGGGCCCTCCAGCCCGGCATACCTCTCTGCTAAAGCCGGCTGCAAACTGCAGAGTCCTGGCACCAATGTCCAAGCAAGCACAAGTCGTGAACAAAACAGCCGGCTACCACAGAGGGTCACTGCCACGGTCACCTGGGCAAGAGGAGCAGTCCTCACCAGTCTGGCCTACGGTGGGCCAGACTGCTTAACATGGGGTGCTGGGGTTTGACCCCAGGACTTGGTGTGTGGCATGCACACTGCCACTGAGCCACACTTGCAGACTCTGACCAGCCATTGTCGAACTGAACAACAAGGAATGCTTCCCTCAAGACCCTACACTCCAGCTAATCCTACCCCCTGGGACCCCCAAGAATTCTCTTCTAGGCCTTCTGCAGACCCTGCAATTTAATCCACTTAAATACTAGCAATAGTCCAAGGAACAAGCATTGGTAAAGTGCTTCACAATCCACAAAGCATTTTTTTAAAAAATATTTTTACTTGTAGTTTAGTATGTTTGTTTTATTTATTTATTTTTATGTGGTGCTGAGGATCGAACCCAATGCCTCCCACGTGCTAGGCAAGTGCTCTCCCCCTGAGCTACAGCCCCAGCCCAAAGCAATTTTTAATGTATGTTGTTGAATTGGGAATACATTCACAATAGTTCTAAAATTCAAAAATCTACAGTAAAAGGCAAATATCAAAGAATCTCCCTGTTTACCCTCCTCCCCTCTCCTACCCTTCCAGACCCCAGGCTTGCCCCTGATTGATAGATAACCATCAGTATAATTTTCTTTTATTTCTTCTTTTTAGTTATACATGACAGTCTCAAAGATTCTTCTGGAGTATCATTCTGTGTGCACAGGCAAATATTCCTATTTCCCTTTTTTAAAGACACAGAACGTAGCTACTATATACACTATACCTCTCTCTGTACCTTACTTTTCTTCACTTGATGACCTGCTTTGTACATAATTGTGAAGCTTTCTTCCTCTTCCCTTTTTACTGCTGTGTAATTCTCCATGATATGAATGAATCAAAGCCTCTTAAAGAGATCCCTGGGGATGGCACCCAGGGCCTCTTCATCCTAGGCAAGCACTTGATCCTGATCCACGCCCTCAGCCAAAAGAGACTCCTCTTGATGAGCATTTATATCACTTCAAATCTCTTTCCTTCACAAACATCATGCAACAAAGAGCCGTAAACAGATCCTTGGCACTTATGCGAATATATTTATAGGCTGAATTCCCAGACGTGGAATTTCTAGGTCAGAAGATTGTGTGTTTAAAATGTTGATAGATATTACCAAATTACCCTCCATAGAGGTTACACACATTTGTCTTCCCAGGAGAAAGACGAGAATGCTTATTTCCTTACAACATCACTATTAGAGTGTATTTTCAACTTTCTGGGCTGATGCCAATCTGATAGGTGAAAAAATTGTTTATCACAGTGTAATTTTAATTTTCATTTCCCTTATTCTGAATGAGGTTGAACATTGTTGTATATATTTAAGGGCCCTTGTATTCCCTTATCTTAGACATACTTTGCTACCCATTATCTCCTTTGGTCTTCACCATACCCCGTGAGATACATGAGGAAAGTGTTCATAATATCTGCATTTTAAAATGATAACGCTTAGACTCGAAGCATTTACGAGTCTGGCTCAAAGCTGTAGGCTGGTGTGGAAGAGCCAAAACGCCATCTTGAATTGTTTTCGGATTGCTGTATGTTTTCATCTTATCTTCCCAATTGAACAGTGAAAGTTTTATCTGCCTTTGAATCATCCCCCAGGAATCTAGGAGCATGCTGAGATGTGGCAGAAGAGCAAGCCAGGAACCCAGAGTCCAGAGCCCTGGTTTCTGGCTGGGCTCAGTGAGTTCCTGGCTGTGCGCCTCTGAGGCAGACTTTCCCTATCTGTAGAACCAAGATTTGAACTAAATCACGAAGGAAGGCCCCTTCTAGGAAATGATGACAGTGGGAAGCACTCCATGAATCTTTTATTATTATTTCTTTTTGAGTAGAGGAAATAAACCTCCCAAGATGAGAACTTTCAAATCATACCCGTTTATGAGAACCTAGTTTAATCAGAGGTGGTAAGTGAGGAGGGTAGGGAGAAGGGGGGTTCAGGCAGAGCTGGGAGGGAAGAGGGGCTGTGCTGGTGACTGGAGTCTGCACAGATCCAGAGTCCCTTGTGAGATTGTGCGGTTTTGCGAGCTGATTGGGATCCAGCTGATAGCTGGAAACTGGCCGTTGTGGGAATATTCATGCTACAGCAATCAGCAAATGACAGCATCCCACACCCAGAGCCGGCTGTTCACCGGAATTCATCCCTGCTTGAGGGTCTGCAAAAAATCATGATCGATGGGGTCACTAGGAAGTGACAAGACTTTGGGGAAGCATGGGGGGCTGGGAAATTGAGACGAGCTCACCCTGCCAGGGCCATGCTTGGACAGGGGCCCCTGGCCTCACCCTCTCTTAGTCAGCCAGGACATGGGTTGACCCCTATGTTCCATGTCACCTCCAGGGAGAAGAGTGCAGTCCCTAGAACAAACTGTGGAGTTCCAATCCTTGCTCCCCACACAGTGACCAGTACCCTAGAATAAATGAACTGTTACGTGTCCCCGAGGGTTCCTCAGGGGACAGCATGGCACCCTCCTCACGGGGTTCTGTGAAGATGGATGAGTTAACATGGAGAGCATCAGGGCAATGCTCCGGATGATGGCGACTCTCGTCCAGTTACCACAGCTCCAGGGCCAGCACGCTCTCTGGTCCCCACTCTGCCTGTGACTGTGGGGTCTTAGGCGATTCTCTTCGCCCTCTAGGCCTGATTATGGATCTGTGGAGAAAGGACCAGATGCTTTAGGCTTCCTTTCTACTGGGTTCTCCCTGTGAAACCCCCTCCTGGGCCACCCTGCCCTGCAGTGGGAGCCCACTGTGCCCCTTCCCCTCCTTCTCCACGGGGGACATCCCCGCAGCTCTGAGCCCTTCCTTTACTCAAAGCACTCAGGAACACTCTGCAGTGACCCAACTCAGTCTCTGGGCCTGGAGTATCATTTTCTCTTTCTACAGTATAAGGGTACTGCTCTCACAGCACCCCAGAAAACTTCCTCAGTGCCAATGGAGTTGGGCCCTCTTTCTCTGGGCTCCCACCCCCCTGTGCTGTGTCTGTCGTCCCCTCAGCACTAACACACCCCTCCTGGGTGACCCACAAATTCCCCACTTGACTCCTGGGGGGCAGGGCATGCTGTCTTCTCCTCTGTCCACTTCCCTGGCTGGAGGAGCCTCCTGGCCTCACCTCTTCCTGGAGATTTCAGAGAAAGAGGCTAGTCCTTCTGGAAGCTGGCTCCTCCTCCAGGCAGAACCCGAGGCTGGACACACCTCCCATTTGATTTACATTTTGGTTATCAGCCTCTTCCCCACAAAGAAAGCAAAGTCCACGAGGGCAAAGGTTCCCTTCCACTGTTCACACTCTGTCCCGAGGACCAAGAGCATGATTTGGCATTTCATTAGTGCTTGATGGATATTTGTGGAATAAATGAAATAAATACACCTCCCACCCACTTACCCCCCCCAAACACACACACATACACACACACACACACACACACACACACGCACACAACCTCTGTACAGATCAAATTTCTGACTGTCACTTATTTCCTATTACCGTGATCATAATTGAGGTGCTGGCTGATAGTAAACTCAAGTCATGACCACTTTATAGAGGTATTTGCATTTTACAAGGGCGGCTTTCAGGAATGATGAAACCTTTCATGAGCCAGGATGGAGGGAAGCCATCATGGATGAATTATTTGGGGAAGGTCTTTTGGGGTCTCCCTGCTTCCCCACTCAGAATTCCTCAAAGCAGATAGGAGTCAGGCCCCCAAGTCACGCAGCCTCCAGCCCCAACCCTCGGAAGCCTCGCTCAGCTCTCCCCGAACCCTGAGGAAGAGCTAGCTGATGCTGACGGCTCACATCTCCCTCCCCTCCCCCAGCCTGGCCCCGACACATAAGAACTTATTTGATCTTCGTCAAAAAAAAGTCAGATGTTTACGCCAGGCTTGCAGTTGGAGTGCTGGGAAGCACAGCTCTGGAGAACAGGGTTCCCAGCCAGGTCAGGGTGGTGTGGTCCTCACTCTCAGAGGCCTGGTGGGTCAGCGTCCCTAGACCAGGACCCTTAGGGCCAGAAGAGTGGGCACACTGGCACTTGGCATTAGACCCCACAGCAAGGGCCAGAGCAGGAGATTCTACAGAGTAAAGGTGACTCGTGAGTCCTTCAATGGACCATCCAGGCAGAGGAACCTCCCTGCCCCAGGTCACTGTCTCCTACCCCATAGCCCTAATAATCTGGCCAGGTCCCGAATGGAGGACCCCTGTAGACAGAGGGAGTCCTTCAGAGAGTCCCTTTACTGGGGCAGATCCCCTCTGTGAGTATGTCCGAGCTTTTGCACCAGGGGCAGGCTCCATCCTGCTAACCCAACCCTACCCCACGTGGGGACAGTCTCTGATCCAGACCTCCTAGAGAAGGAGCTGGTGAGGTAGCAGGATGTAGCCCCACACCCAGCAGTCACCCAAGGGTGCCCACAGATGTTAGCGATGACAAGCCTGGAGACAGTCAGAATCTGGCCACCGGCAGACCCTGCAGTGGGAGGACCCCCTCCTGACCCCTGTGTTATCAGGGGGACCCTTGAATCACCAGCACGCTAAGTCAGCTAGCACCCACCCACACCCTCAGGGCTCGGGCAGAGCCTCTCCTGGGGGTAGGTCTGGCAGGGAAGGCTCCTGGGCTGTCCAGCCGTGTCTCCTATGGAGGCAGGGAGTGCACAGCAGGCCCAAGAGCCAGGACTCTCCCCGCCCCCAGGGCAGCCCCTCCCTCCAGATGGTTTCCATTGAGCTGCTAAAGATTCTGCCTTGGTCAGTTCTCCCGTCCCTCCTGCCTCCTACTCCAACCTCCTCCTCCTCCTCAGCCTGTCCATCATCTGTCCACCTGCCTGGATCAGCAGGAAGTCATGGCCTCTTAAAGAGCTGGGTCCTGCCCGGTGGTGCCCTGTGCTGCCCTTGGTGGATGCCTCCCTCTGCCCTGGTCCTTTACCCTGGTCTTGCTGTTAGCATAGCCTCTGGTGAGCACCAGAGGAAGCTTGTTGAGTCACAACCAGGACAATCTAAGTTCTCTATACCCCATTCCCTCCAGGGGTCCCTCCTGTGTCCCACCCTGGTTGTCCTTAGTCTGGTGACTTGTGGAAGCTCAGAAGACCCCGAGATGAGAAAAATGTCGGCACTTGCTTTCCGTGGGGCACTTGGGAGGATGATAATGACTTGAGCTGGAACAGAAGTAAACAATCTCCACTGGACTTGTTTAAGCTGCACAGAAACCTCATGAGGTCAACAGATGTTGCTGGCTCTCGCTGACAGAGGAGAAAACTGAGGCTCAGAGAAGTGCAGTAACTTGCCCAAGGTGACACAGCTGTCAGGGGCAGAGCCCCGGAGTGAGTTCTCGTTCAGTCGGCACTGCTTGCTGCCCCTCGGACATCTCAAATCCCACTCACAGACACCCTGCTGGGCAGCCGCCTGGTGCCCTGGGAAGGGCTTAGCCAAGCCCAACTTGGCCCCTTATGAGCAGGGGTGGCTGTGGCGAGTTGTCCAGTCTTCCCAAACTTGTTCCTCCGTCAGAATACAGACTACACCTCGGCCTCGAGAGGAAGGAGGAGGACGTGGGTGCCCTGCCCCCAGGAACCCCTGTGTCCCAGCCATGGTCACCACACCCAGATGCCCCTTGCCCTGAGCCTCTGGGGTGTGGTGTGACAAAGAGGCTCTGCAGCTAACTGTGACATCCGGAAACAGAAGCTGCTGTCACCCTCTCTGGGCTGATGACTTCCTTTGTGAAAGGAACAGAGGAGCAGGCCAGGGGCAGAGAGGAACCCTGGAAGGAGCAGGGCGAGGTTGGGGGCGGGAAGATCTGCACACGGAGCAGACATTCCAGCCAGGGCCACGGGAGGGAGGGGAGGCAGCTGGACTACGGGGCAGCTCTAAGGCTCACTTCCAAGGGAGTGTGACACTGGATTTTATAGCCACTCGTGGGGACCCTGAGTGAAGAACCCTAATCTGTGAAAAGTGCCTCCCAGTGTTTGTGGCTGTCCCCAAGGGCTAACCATCTTCTGTCACTGGTGCTACCTCCACCAAGATGACACTTCTGCACTTCCAGGTCCACCGAGCACCACAAACTCCTGCTCCCAGACAGTGCTTGGCATCCTGTAGCAAAGCAAGGAAATTGTCCTTTTTCTGTCTCATCCTCAGCTAGAGGAACACTCTAAGGTCAGCAAGTGCCCAAAGGCCTTAACATCTAAGTGAAAGAGGGACACTCAGAGATGGGTCTTAGATACCCACATACGGCTCCACTTTAGTCTAAAGGTGCACACCGGACTTGTGCGGTACACAGCCTGTGCAGCTGTACGAGGTGGGCCGTAGACACTACATAGTCCTCAAAGCATCCCCTCTCCCTGGCAACTTGCTCTTTATTCCTGGGTGAGGCTTGCCATGCTTTCCCGAGCCCTCACTGCCTTCAGTGCCTAGTAGAGTTGTTCACTACTCAACCTGCACAGCCATGCACAGAGATCCTGTAAATGTCCTCTCCTTCCTTTAGGATGAGTACTTTACCCCAAATCCCAGCAGTGGGCCCCACTCTAGGGTTAAGTTAAAACCCAAAACCATATTTTCCTCACTCCCTCTTGACAGAGTCTTTTCTGCTGCTTTGCAGCCCTAAGATTGCCCCAAGACACAGGCCTGTGGGGTCGAGGGGAACTTGGAAGGTCCTCCATCCCACCCTGTCCTTTTGCAGATGGCAGGACAAGGCCCCCGAGATGGGAACAGACCTGCTTGATAACCTGTGGTCACTTGTGACAGAGCAGGGCTTAGAGCTCCTAGTTTCGTAAGAATAAGGCGCGTCTAGCGAGCAACAGTCCCCGAGCTCAGCGCCCTCTCCAGGGCCTCTGGTCTCTCCAGCCTCCAGGGGAGACTCAAAGGGATCCTTTTTTTTTTTTTCTCTTCCTCTTTTTCTCTCTGCTGGGCCACAGGACCCTGCGCCTGGTTAGCCACAGGTCAGGTACAGGTTGGCTGCAGGAGGGTCTGGTGAGGGCTGCGGTTCCGAATGCCCCACAGGAAGTGGCCCGATGTCTGCCTGGGTTGGGGCTGGCATGGGGGGCTGGGCTGGGTCACTTGGCCTGAGCAGCCCCAAGGCCCTGGATCCTGAAGGTCTAGCTCTGAATGCAGGCACCCACTTCCTGCAGGGCTCAGCTCCCGCCTGTCAGACCTTGGCCCGCGACAGCCTGCTGAGTACTCTATCCCCACAGGCCAGCCTCGGTCCACCCTGACTGGCCCACAGCCCCTCCCTGCAGCACCTCTGGCCCTGAGCCAGACAGGTCCCCACTCCCCGCAGCCAAGGGTCCTTGACAACACCAGCATTTTTCTCACTGCTTCTTGGGTGTAACCCTGGCTTCAGACAATCCAACGTCCCACTTGGTGGCCCTGAAAGCTGGCTTCAGGAACCACCCTGCTCCTCACTAGCAGCCTCCGAGGTCCCTCCTTGCACGGAGACCTGGTAGAGTCCTCTTACCCAGGCTGCTCTCCAGAGCCTCCCCTGATGACCCCACGCCCTGGATCCTCTGGTCACTCCTCCAGTCACTGTGTCAGGTCCATCATTCGTGTGCCCCCACCTTCCTAGTCACATCCTGGGGGCCTCCCAGGCCTTCCGTCTCCTCTTCCTCAGCCCAGCCTGATTTGTCACGAATGTACTCATGGACCAAGTGAATCGGAGCCAGGAGCCGGCTGCTGCACCCTGACATCAAGATGACTGCCAGCAGAGCTGCTCCTCAGGGGCTAAGGTCAAGGATAACATGGGGGAGTAATCATCAGAGGGAAACCGAAAGGGAATAGGTCCACAAAGCCTGGCTTCCAGGACGGCTCGGGAGGTGACCAGCAGGAAATGAACAGCGTCCATCTCAGATGCCCTTAATTAACCCCAGCCTCTCCCACACACCCTTGGGCATTTGCTCAGGGACTTGCAACAGTGGCATTGGAGAAGGGAAGAAATCCTTGTACAGAGACTGGCCCTTGCAGGGGTAGAGTGGGGGAATCCAGAGTCTCCTTCCCTCTTGCCCCTCCCCTATCCATAGAGAAGGTCAAAAACTACCTCTCCGTCAGGTGTGGTGGTGTAATCCTGTAAACCTAGCAACTCTGGAGGCCGAGGCAGGAGGATCTCAAGTTCAAGGCCAGCCTCAGCAACTTAGCAAGACCCTGTCTCAAAACAAAAAATAAAAAGGGCTGGGGATGTAGCTCAGGGGCAAATTGCCTCTGTGTTCAATCCTCAAATTCTCATAAAATTTAAATACATCTAAGAGGGATTTAAATATTAACTTGGCCTCAGTTCCTTTAATGGAAAGTGGGAAGCTTGCTAAGGCCTCTTCTTGCTCAGACCTCCTGCTCCTCAAATTCAATAGTAAGGGTTTTCTCAGCTTGCAGGCCTCCAGAGGACCCTGGCCTGGGCAGGATTTTGGGGTGATGGAAGGAGAGGGGCTCCCAAAGAGAGGTGGCATCAAGGGAAGGAAATGTGCCTGTGCCCTGGGCCTGACAGTGCACCCTCCATCTGCAGGCCTGCCTGCCGATTTTAGGGTACACCAGAGGCTCAGCACCAACAGGCCCTATTATCACCTTTAGCTTCTCCTGGGCCTCCCGGGGAAACTCGTTTGCTCTGAGGGGTTAGACCCCCTAGCAATGCTTCCCCCCAGAGCCCTTGCTTTTTAAAAGAGGCTGGCGACTGAGGTTGTCACTCAGTGGTAGAGTGACCAGCAATTCTGGGTTCAATCTCTAGCACCCCCAAAAAAAGTCCTTCCAGGAAAGATGTGGAGGAGCTCAGATGCATTCAGCAGCATTCTTGGCAAGGATGGGGAGAAATTTCCAGGTGGGTCAACCTCCAGGGCACCACAAATCACGCACATTGAAAAGCATCTGTGCACCCCCACCCCCACGTAGGTTTTGCTTATTCTTTCAACCAAGAAATCATGCCAGACTTCCTGTGAAGTGTTGAAGGACTTAACAATGAATTTGGTGGAGAATGACTCCTGTCATTTGGACAGTTGCCGTCTAGTGAGGGAGATGGTAAACCTCCCTCAGAACGTTCTCTGAGTTCCTCTCTGCTACCCCCTTCCCAGCTTCCTTCTCTCAAAACTCTTAAAAACAGAGTTCCTCTGTTGGCGCAGCTGCAGAGCCTGGTCCCAGGGCTCTGTGCTCCTGTCTCCAGCCTGCAGGGTGCTCCTGCCCAGCAAGGGGCTGCTTTCTTGTCCCTGATGTGCAGGTGAGAGGGCCTGCAGCAGATGGATGGAGGAGGAGCTCTGCCGGTGGCCACCCGCCCTCCAGCCTGGCCTCAAGTCAAAGGTCGTCTAATTTGCTAAGCATCTTCCTTTCCCAGCTTTCCCATGACTGGGCACAACAAACCACAGGAGCACAGCTCTGAGCAGGGGTGAACTTCTCTCCAGCGTGGAGCCCCCATCCAGCTGAAAGCAAAAGCCACTGATGTTTTCTCTCTTTGAACTCTCTTCTGCCTTTCTTCCTATCAGAATCCCACCTCTCCTTCCCAAGCCTTCCCCCCTCCACAGAGCCCAAGTCCACCCTGCAAAGGTAAGGTAGGACTTGGCTTCTCCTGGCTGCCATGGTCTTGTTGATAACATAGAGATGACTTGCCCCACCCATCTGGAGGAGCAGTTGAGAAGAGCTCTGTGTGTGCCGGGCACCATTCTAGGAGCTTTGCATTCATTCATTCCTTTCATCTTCACCACAAGGCTCCAAGGAGCATGTGATTATCATCTCAATGTTCCACATGCAGAAACAGATGCCTGCACCCAGGCATCCAGTTTGAACCCAGGGAGTCAGGCTAAGCCTGTGTGCACAACCCACGACACTGAGCTGCCCAAAGCAGTTTGCAAACACAAGTTGTGCAGACTCAAAAATGCTCCCCCGGGGCATGCCTCATCAGAGGGTTAGGGTTAGGGTTAGGGTTAGGGTTAGGATCACCTACACCCCACAGCCCTCCGACCAGACCCCTGGATACACAAGGCTGACCGCACCTGGGTACAGATCTTGGAATCAGTTGCCCCAGCCTTGGGACTTTGGCACCCCCACAAATCTGTCAGAACGTGATGGTCTCCCCTCCACACCTATTTTGCCCCCATCAGCCACCTCTAGCCCAGAGATGCAGAAGCTAGTGTCACGAAGAGGGTTCCTGGGGCGGGAGGAGGCAAGGAAGAGAGCAGCCTGGCCAGAGCCCAGAGATTGATGGGCTCCGCTCCATGAGGGCCAAAGTCAGGCAGTGATGTACAGCCACCTGCCAGGGGGAAGCCAGCCTCATGCCTAATCGGATCAGACACCCCCTACCAGGTCCCCTCATTCCTCTACCTCCTCCTCCCAGCTCCTGACCCCTCCTTTTGCTTCCCAGCCCCGCCCTGTCTGAGGTCTCCAGCTGGCCTGGTTGATTTTATAAATGGCGCTTGCAGGAGGTGGGCACCTTGGCTAATTGAATCAGCACCCAGGAGGCAGGAGGCAGGAGGCTGGTTAGCATCACAGCTGAAAGGTAGTGGCAGCAACAGCTTGAGTAGAGCCATCAGGGAGGAGCCTGTGTGAACAGAGAGGCCCAAGCAATCTGGGCCTTCATATATGCTGAGGGCCATGGTGGGAGCTCACCAGGGGGCTGGCCACCCCCACCGCAAGCATGGGAGCAGGCTAATGACCACCACAGGCCACACACACACACACACACACATACAGCACACACACTCTGAAAAAATACAAAGGGAGGCAAGAGAGGTAGAGAAGCAAAGAAACAAGAAGAATGATAAAGTATGCTGTGTGCGCACACCAATAGTCTATGAATCTGTGTACACATCTCTGGGCTGGGGGCCTGTCACGATGCTATTCCTACCCTGACACCACCTCTGCATCATAGAGTCATACAATGCACAACCAGGTCTCTGCAACAACAGGCTGCACACAAACCCCATAAGATACAGCAGAGTTGAAAAATACCCATCGCCTGGTCCTCTTACTGTTCCTTTTCTGTGTTTATATACATTGAGATACACAAATACTGTTGTGTTACAACTCCCTACAGTATTCAGTATAGTAACATGCTGTACAGGTTGGTTATCTAGGAGCAATAGGCTATGCCATATTGATCTTTATGCATATATATGCCATACAGCTAAGAAATGTGGTAGGCCATTCCATCTAGGTATGACATTCACATGATAAAATGCTTAGTGATCAGTTTCTCAGAATATGTCCCCATTGTTAAGCAACACGTGAGTGTAATTAGCAAATAAAACCAGTTTATAAGTGTCCTGGTTACAGCTTAGTCTCTTGTGGTATCAACAGCTGCCAGGCAGCAGATCCTGGAGCCAAGAGACACTTTCTGGGCAGAACTCCCACCTGATGTTCCTTTGCCTGGTGCCTTCAAGGCTGGTTGGTTTCCTTACCCATGAATTGTCCCTTGCTGGCCCCTTGTTGCTCTTCCCTTGAAGGAGCAACAAGCCTCATGCATCTAAGGACCCCTTTGTGGACATGTTCAGTGGTCATCTGTGCTGTGGGCCCTGCAGTGTGTGTCCACAGAGCAGGCAGGCCTGTGGAGCTACCCACACCCCAGCTCCCAGTGAGCTGGACCACGGCGGGTGCTCCATGGCACTTTTTGACTGCAGGAATGATGGGCAGGCCGTGGGTGACGATGGCAAGGTTGAAGCTGGCTGAAGTGGCACCAGCAGTTCTCTGCAGGTGGCCCATCCACTGGATCATGTTTTCCAAGAGGGGCCCTGAGGGTCTGCTCAGTGTTTCCTCAATAACTGTCTCAAAGACTTTCGGTATCCCCCCAACTTCCCCCTAGGCTCCACTTCCCTGCCCTGTCAGCCTTGCCCCACCTTTCTGAGCCTTCTGCCACTTCCCCTTGTCAGGCCATGCCAGCCTCAGGGTGGAAGGACCCAGAAGGCTCTGGATCTCAAAAGTGAGAAGGGCCAAGAGCAGTATTCAGCTTAGGACCCCCACCTCCTGGTCCACACTCCTGAAGACTGTGAGTCTGCGGGGACAAGCTCCGAAAGGCAGATTCCTCCAGCTGCTTCCAAACCTTTCTGGTAGCAGCATCCTTCCCTCAGGTCCTAGACCCCAACCAAGCCCAGCACAGCTAAGCCCCCTGTGGCCTTTTCCACAGGCTAACACTGCCCCCTGCTGGGCCTGGCTGGGATGGCCACAGAGGAAATTAGAAAGATGCCTTCCATTGCTCGAGACCCCTAACTGCCAGCCCTACCCACAGAGGGCAGAGACTAGGGTCCTCAGGAGCATTGGGCCTTCCTGCCTCCAGGAATCCTAAGGCTGGGATTGAATGCAGACCTTGGTCACAGGCAAAATGAGCAGGAAGGTCCCCACCCACTATTTCCAGCCTGCCCATCCCTCTCTCAAATTCCTTCAGGAAGTTTTGTCTCCATGTGTGGCAATGCTCCTGAGGGGCTGTTGTCAACTCATGTGCCTGTCATTCACTTCCCTCCTCAGTTCCAGAGCCTCTCTCCAGGCCAGTCATCTTAACTCGGCTCCTTGGGAGCCTTGTTCTCAAGGCCTGAGTCTCCCTTAAAATCTGCCTTCCCTGTGGTCCACATCCAACAGGACAACAGCTACAGGAGGTATCTCTGTGACACTTTTTAAATCAGTCTTTTCTGAGTTTCCCTCTTCTGTTCAGCCCATAACCTGCCCCCTCCAACCCCAAGTTCACCTTCCAAGGGGTTGTCGAGGGTATTGACCTAAAGCTCCAGTGGGACTCTCTGCTCAAAAGCCTTAATTCATTCTTCCTTCCTCTCTAATTAGGTAAAAAAAAAAAAAAAAAAAAAAAAACTCTCTGCAACCTGATCAGAATCTGCCTTCCCACCCACAGGCATTCCTCCACCTATGCTGGGGTTATTGGGTTCCATTCTGATAAGCCCATGTATCATATGTTGAAACTATCGTAAGTTGAAACTGTCATAAGTCAAAAATGAATTTAATATACCTAAACTAACTTAAGGGGTCATATATATTTCTTGTATGCAGAAGCTGGAGAGGAAAAAGGAAAAGAAAGGTGGGGGTAGATCTCTGAAAATCAAAAGGAGCTCAGTAGAGGAAAGGGACAAGAAGGTGGGAGGTGAGAAGGGAGGGAGGAAGTGCTGAGGACTCATACTGGCCAAATTATATTGTTATATTGCATCGTGTGTGCATACAAATATGTAACAACAAAATCCATATGTATAATTATACTGCATCAATAAAAAATATGGGGGAAAAATAATAATATACTTTAACTACTAGGTGGAGTTAAGAGCTGGGGCTCGCTGCTGCTGCCCAATCTTGAGAGAGGTGATCATACCACATATGGCTAGCTGGGGAAAAGATCCAAATTCAAAGCAGGGTTTCTACAGAATGATATTGGTTTCACACCATCATGAAATCAAAAATCCTAAGTCGAACCAAGGCAAGTCAGGGATGTTGTGCACATCGCTGTATCCTCCCTCTTAAGTACAGAACTTCTTACCTCCCTGTGCAGTCTCAACCGTGTTCTTATTTGCATCCAGAATGCTCTCCCCATACCCCACTTAAACTCCACCAAACTCCTTCCCACCTGAAGGGTTCACTTTAAACACCTTTGATAAGAATGAAGCCTTTCTTGGTCCCCCAACAAATAGTAATCTCCTCTGAAGCCCAGGGCTGTGTTTCACCTCTTGTGGCACTCATGTTCCCTCTCAGGACAGACATTTCTGCCCATTTCTCTGCCCTTCTGGGCTATGCACAGCTTGAGGTCAGGGCAGTCCACAGTGACACACACAGTGACCATAATTGACTCACAGCACTGATATCAGAAAGATATAAATATCCCTTCTCATGAAAGCAGGTTTTGATGAGACCACAAGGACAGAGACCCTGTGGTAAAACAGAGTGCAAGGAGGACTCAGGCCCCAAGGGAGAATTAGAACTGGAAGGACTCTCAGCTCCCACGTGAGCAAGTCCCTCTTGTTGCCAAGAGGGCAAGCCCCAGGGGAGGGAAGGAACTGCCCAGCACCACGCAGCCATTGAGCCCCATTTCTACTGTGTGAGAGGCTCAATAAATTCCAATCCTTTCCTTTCTTACAGTTTGGCTTTTTATCAACCCCCCCCCCCCCCGCAATGCATCTCCCACCATTTTTCCTGTAGTGACCCTATCCTGGCAAAGAGCAGACGTGTGGGAACACTGGTGTGGTTCAAATTTCATGTACTGGAAATTTAATCCCCAAATTCTTATATTAATGGTGTCTGGAGGTGAGATCTTTGGGAGGTGATGGGTCATGCGGCAGAGCCCTCATAGACTGGAGTCAGCCATACACAGATTAGTGGGGTGTCCAGGGAGTGGCTTTGTTGAGCTCTCTCTGGCATGCTGGCTCTGTCTTGCCATGTGATGTCTCTGCCATGTTAAGATGCAGGATGGTCCATGGCAGATACCAAGCAGATGCCAGCACCATGTTCCTGGACTCCCTGGTCTCTAGACCCTTAAACCCAATAAACCTCTATTGTTTATAAATAACCCAGTCTGTGGTGTTCATTCACAGCAACAGAAAACGGACTAAGACAAAGGTCTTCCTGAGGACACCCTGACTCCACGGGCCTCTGATTGTACAGATGGTTGGGGCCCAGTCTTGGCCTAGGGAGGTCCTTGCAGCTGGACAAAAAGGTGTCCAGTGGTGGTCAGTTGGAGTATTCAACCCACCCCCACAGCACTCAGGTCATAACAGAAGTAGTTCAAAAACATTTTAATGCCACGGAGAAATCTGAAACCTGCAGAAAGCTGCAGCCATCCTCCTGGATGCCTGGAGCTAAGGCTGTCCCAGGGAGGGACCTCAGCAAGCAGGAGGCCAGCACAAACCAAGGAACCATGGGGTGAGGGGAGTCCAGGAGACTGTGGATATCCTTTTCTCCTCTGCCCTAAATGCCCCCAGGTTCCCTTTAGGGTCAAAGAAAGAAAAGAGGAAGTGGAAAGGAGTGGGAGGAGGGTGGGTCTCTCCAGGGCACTCTGCCTGCTCAGGGCTGGTGACTCAGTGCGCCCTAGGAGGGAGAATCCCTCAAGCCAAACAGGGCAGGCCAGGCCTGGGTCTGCAGACGGAGCCCACAGAGATGCTCCACGCAGTGGCCAAGCTGGAAGGGGAGACAGGCTTCCTCCTCCACAGTCTCCAACCACAACCCTCCATGTACTTCGAGGTGGCCCCATCTTGGCATCCACATCACTTTGGGCTTTTCTTCAGCACAACATTGTCATACTCAGTTTCCTGTGGCCAGCCAGAGACAGACAAGTCCTGCTGCAGGATGCTGGGGCCCCTTTCCACGGTGGCCTTCCTTCTCCACCCCTCACCCTGGGGCTCCTGCGGACTATCATACAGAGACAGGGAGGCCATGCCCTCAGGCTCATCATATATGTGGTCAGGTGGAGGGGCTGAGGGCTCCTCGTACAAAGGGTCAGCCAGGAGCAGGGGAGGGCCTGCCAGCATGGCCCTGAAGCTCTTCCCCAGGTTGCGGGCTACTGCATCAAAGGGCAGAGCATATTCCCCCTCAGAGCGCGCGGCCGGCACCAGCGTGCTGGGTGAAGGTGGTGGCAGTGAGTCGTGGGGCCGGGAGTAGGGGCTCTCCGGCCGGGGCAGCACAGTGGGCACTGTGGACACTGTGGCTGGTGGGGGTGGGGGCCCAGGAGGGGCAGCATCCTTCTGGGCAGCAATGGCCTCTTCCAGGGCCAAGAAGATCTCGTTGCCTTGCCGTGTTTCAAACTCAAAGTTGCCCTCTCCAGAGACACAGCGCCGGCCCGCCTCAAAGGAAAAGGTCGTCTGCAGCCAGGAAAAAGGCACTGTTGCTTTCCTGGACTCCCCCCACCCCAATAAGACGCTGTGCCCCCAGCTTCCATCCGCCAGGAACGGCCAGAGCCCTCTCCCTGAGCTCCTCGCTCCTCTTCCCTCAGTTTCTTCCTCATAAGCAAAACGCCCCCCATCCTCTCTCCCACCCTCTGCCTCCACTGAGCACGCAACTGGGCTGCAGTCCTCCTGGAGACCCAGGAGCCACTCCACTCCCTCACCTGCCGCCCCCTCTCTCCCCTCGCCTGGTCCCTCCCCATGGCTTCCCTCCCCAGCCACCTCTGCTGATTCTCTCCTGTGGACCTTGCTGCCTGCCTTCCCCTTCCCTTCTACACATTCCCTTGCACTAATGCGCCTCTGATCACCTTCCTTCTTTCCTGGCTCATCGTCTCCACCTGCCCCAGTGCAGTCCCTCACTCACCTTGTCCCGCCCAAAGCGTCGCAGGAACCTGTAGGGCCAGTCGTACAGCTGGGTGCCTGGATCAGGGCCACTCCACAGCTCCAGGGCACTCACCCCCAACCGGAGCGTGTAAGGTCCTCGGAGCCGGCACCGCTCACTGGCTTCGGTGGGTCTCACGGTAACAGCAAATTCCTTGAGGGAGACCCCTGAAGAAGGGAGGAGAAAGAAGGCAGCTAAGGGAAACAGCTGGCAGCCCACACTGCCCGGGTCTAAGGGGATGTGCCGGAGGTCTCTAAAAACTATCATCCACGTGCTTGTGATCCCAGCCCCGATCTTGAAAGCTGGCTGCTGTGTGCCAGGGGACCCCCCCCCCATACAAATACCAGGTCCCTCCACTCCCTACCACAGAAGGCCTCATGCCCCCAGACCTCACCCAACCTTGGGCTCACATCCTTCCTGCCACTGTTGCCAGAGCCACAGCCTGGGCTTCTCCACCATCTCTCACCCTGAACCAGCAGCCCCCCAAATCTGTGCTGGCACAGCTGCTGGTGAAGCAGGAACACACCCTTCCATGTGCTTCCCACAGGCAGAGCTTAGATGGAAGGCAGCCCACCAGCTCCCTCAGTGTCCACCAGCTCACTCCACCCCAGACCCTGGGCACAGAGACAGTGAGCAGAGCAGGACTGCCTGGTCACCAAGGAGCTCCCGGTCCCAGGACGCCTTGCACAGCCAAGCCTGAGACAAAGCCATTCTTTTTTTCAGACAATTGCTAAGGTCCCAGCAAGTATCCTGACCTGGGCCTCCAGCTTGCCCTTTCCCACCATCAGGGGCCAGGCAAGCTGTGGTGAGCCGCCCCGGGCTCCCCCCACCTCAGGCCACACCGGAAGTCAGCATGATAAGGGGGCCAGCTGGGTGCAGGGCAACCACAGGCAGGAAGAGTTGGCCGCCATCGGCTACACCTCCTCCCAACCACGCCCCGGGAGCCCACCCTGCAGCCCACCCCTCACCTGAGGTCGAGCTGCCATACAGTTCATTCTCCTCCATGCAGGGCCTGCCACTCTTCCCCTCCAGCCCTGAGGGCTCCTTCCTCCGCCCCTGGGGAGAAGTTTCAGGTCTTACAACCAACACCATCCCAAGGCCCTCTTTGGCCCAGGCTTTCTTTCAGGGCATGCCCAGCCTGCTAGCCCTGTCCACCCTCTGGATTGGGATCCACCCTTCAGGAAGTGCCCCAGCATTCTGACCTTGGCGCTTCTACCACCTTCCCACAGGAAGTATCTAATGCTCCCCTATGCTTGTAGCCCTTTCTGCACCCCCAGATGACTCACGGGGAAGGCCAAGAGACAGATGGCCTGCATCCAGTCACCACGCTCAGCGGTAGGGGCTGCCAGCAGGTACAGACGCTCCTTGGTCTCCAGAATGAAGGCACTGGTGTCCCGAGGGCTGCTGGCCTCCCCGCCTGCCTCAGCCACCCGCAGGCAGTCACTGAGGCGGATGACCCTCCGGCTGGCCTCTCCCCGACGAGGCTTCTCTGGGCCCTCCTGGAGCTCTAGCCGTGCCAGAGCGCAGCCTGACTCTCCGTACAGCACAGCTCCAAACCGGCGCCACTTCTGAACCCAGGTGTGGGAGGCGGGGAACCAAAGGAGTTGGAGAAGGAGAGGCGGTGATCAAAGGGGGAAGAGGAACCACAGGAGAGGGACTGCAGCAGCAATGCGGAGACAGGGAGAGGGAACATTCCCAAGAGATCAGAGGAAGCACAGAAGGCAAAAGGGCCCACAGGATAGAACGCTGCAGATCAGCCTCCAGCAACCAAGACTTTTAGGCCTGCAAGGTGGTGAGCAGGGATGGCCGAGGGCATCCAGGAGCATGGGAATGAGCCCCATGGCTGCAGACTGCAGGAAGGCAGGTGGCAGGCCAACCCTGCAGGGGCTGATGGAAGGAAGAAGAGCCCGAGTCTGGACAGAGTAGGAGGGGGGGCAGTGAGGGCCCAGACCACAGCGTCCTCATCCTGTGGGAAGTCCTGAGGAAGGGCCTGGCTCAGGAACATCCCTCCTCCCTCCTGAACCTTTCTGCCTCACCACTTGACAGGGTGACCAGCCATGAGAGAGAGAAGTGCCTGGGTGGGGGGTCAGTGAGGAAAGAGGACTTCCTCATTGAGGAGGCCAGGGAGAAGGAGGACATTGAACAAACTGGAGCCCCAGGTCCCAGAGGTCCCAGCCCAAGCTTAATGCTAGCCACACACACCCCACCTGGGTCAAAAAGGGGGAAGGAAGCTCCACTGTCATCCTCAATTGTCCCCCACAAGTTGTCCCCACAAGAAGTCAACAGAACGAGAGAGATTAAGTCATCACCCTCCTTCCCCCCCACCCCCAACCCTATAACCCTCAGCAAAGAGCACAGTTTGGGGACTGATTTGAGGCCTGGTTTGGAAGACAAGTCAGGTGAGAAAGGAACCCTCCTGGGGCGGAGCTGTCATCTGTCCTGGTGGACAGCGAGGTTCCACAGGAGTTTGGAGACACTGAACTCCCCCCACCCCAGGAATTTCTAGCAGCTCCTACTCTGCCTCGCCCTGGCCCAGCCTGGTGCCCACCTTGCCAAAAGTCTGCTGCTGCTGGAGGTGCAGGAAGCCCTGCTTTACCGCCACCTCTTCCATCCTGACCATCGCCGCCCGGGCTCCCGCCCTCGCTCCTCGCTCTTCTTGGCCTGTGTTCCCCCTTCTCTCAAGTTCATTTCCTCTCTGCCTAGAGCTTTCTGCACTATTCTAGTCTGCGCGATGACGACAAGCTGATAGGCCCTGCGGTTTCTTGCTCCGTATGTGGTTTTCTTCTTTTTTTTTTTTTTTTTCTTCTGATGAGAGAGTTTCATGCTCAAGCTTCCTGCATTTCCAGTGAGTAACACACAATTTCCAAAAAGCTAAATTTCAGCTCCTCCGTGAGCAACAAGTCAGGTAAGGAAACTAGCATGGGGAGTGGCTGACGGGCAGGAATAGAGACCCAGAAAGAAAATCACAGTAAAAACAGGAGCAGAAAACCCCGGGCTCAGGCTGGGTGCTGAGCATGACTGAGCAGGAAGAGACCTGAGGAATCAACCATCACAACTTCCTAATCGAAAAGGGAGGAAACAGACTTGGAAAGGTCTGAGGGACTCCTTCAAGGCCACCAAACCAGAACCCAAGGGCTCTCGACTCAGTAATAGCTGAATCACACAGTGCATTCCACACAAAGACTTGACTGCCCCAAACTGCACCCTAGCCGGACAACACTTTTATAAACACACAGATGCACCTGTTCCTCTACATGGGAGCATTCCCTGCTGCCAAAAACACCACACATCCCCCTGTGAAGATACTAGAAACATCAACTTCCCCTCTGGAGAAGGGACTTATTCCCCAGATACATCTCAACCACTAGATTTCACCTTCTTGCTAGCCCTAGAGAGCATTAGAAAGATACTTGGGTTTCATCTGAAACTTAAATTCCAGTAGCTTCATACTTTCCAAAGCTTCCAAGTACACTCTTTAACCAGCCAGCCAGTGTCCCTTGACAAAGGCAGGGCAGGCATGAACTCAGCTAAGGCTGGGGCTGGGGGTTGGGGGAGGAAGTCAAGCCCAGGGCTACACATCTCTAATGCCCTGTTTTACCAGGCCCCAAAGTGGAATCCAGACTCCATGAAAGAAGATACATGGCTTTGGGGAAAGATGCATGGCTCCACAAGAAATTCACCTTAGAACCAGATGGCTTGAAGAAGCAATCTGGATGGAGGCACAGTGCAAAACTGTTGGGGAAAACTGTGAATTAGACAAATGCTCGTGGGGTCAATCCCATAAAGGTGCTTATATAACTGCATCCATTTCCTCTACCACAAGGGTTCAGGTGCCCTAGTAAGGAGAGCGGTGCATAACTCAGGCCTTCTGTTGTACATGCCAGGGGATCAAAACAGCTTACAGAGGTGCATGGGCTGGCTCTGGGGGCTGGGCCACTCCATCTCCCTGCCCTCAGCCCAGGGTTTGAAAGGTTGATCTAAAGCCCAAAGGAGAACCATTAATGTTGTCCTGGATAAAGCATACACTTGGAAGTGGCTAGGAGTACACATTTAGGATGTGGCCTATTGTGTCTCTAGAATCCCTAAGGAGAGTCAGCCCTGCCTTGAAGTTAGTGGGGTAAGAGGATTTAGGGTCATATTTTAGGGACTGCCAGAGAATGCCCTTCAGACTTTAGTGTGCAAATCTTGCTAAAAGTGCAAAGGGTGATAAGGCAAGTCTGAAGTCAGTTCCGAGATGTTGACTCTCCTGGTGGGTGGGCCAGGCCATAAGGCAGCAAGGCTGCAGAGGATGTTCCTCCCACCACACTGCTCTCCTTCCCCAGAGGTAACTGGGACACATTCCACTCAGAACCACAGGGGGGCGCCCAAGTTAATCAGATTCCTTGGAAACTGTTTAAACCTGAAGGCCTCAGCCCCAGGTAATCCAGACACCCCCATCCCATCCCAGGCCCGTGGAAGCTGGAGAAATCCTCCTTCTCCAGCCTCACTCTGAAGAAAGTAACAGGACTGTACTAAGAGCAACACACCTGTCGTCTGTCAAGTTCAACTTCACCTACGCACTTACCCCAGTAGCTTCTGCCTAGCCTCTGGGGGCAACCTGTGAACAGGGGCTGACACCTCCCCTCCCAGGAACTGAAGAGGTGAAAAGAATTAGACAACGTTTAGTACCCCAGGCACCACTGAAGGGAAGAAAAAGTATCACAGATCAAAGGATCCCAGGGGTCCATATTGAGACACAGGTGTGTTTGGGGTGGCACCTGGCTTCTGCTTTCACTGGAAAGGGAGGGTCTATAGTAGAGGCACCCCTCAATTATAGGCCACTGAGACCCTTTCCTTCACAATGGTTTTTCTCAGCTGCAGTGAAGAGAGACAAGAGCTCCAAGAACTTTGCAACTTTTTGTTACTATCCTACAGAGATTAGCAACCAAATATTTAACACAAAGAAGTTTGTAAACTTTCCTTTGGGGGCAACAGAGGAAGGAACAGGAGAAACTATATCTGACTATTTGTACAAGCTTGGGGGTTAGTAACCTCAAATGATGTTACAGGTGGGAGCAACTACGTAAGAGGCAGCTCTGGGCATACAACAGGAGCACAGGTATAAAGTAAGCAAGAGAGATGACACGGGCCTGGAAAGGACGAAGGACTGGACAAAGAAATAAGTGAGCAGAGATTCTGAAAGATCTCATCCCTGCCTCCCCCATGCCCAGTGGATCCTGGCTGAGGGGAGGAGGAGGACAATACCAGTCTCCAAGTTTCATTCCTAGACTATCCTTTCTCCATTAAGTACGTTATTTGTCCTATCACAGAGGTCCTTCCTTATCTATAATTTCAAAAATCACAGTCCAAAAATATTAAATAGAAAATTCCAAAAACAAACAATTAAGTAACTTAAGTATTAAGTTACTTATTAAGTAACTTATTAAGTAACTTAAGTAACTTATATTGCTCTATATCACCTATTGTTGGTAATCACTTAATGTGCCTACTTTGTAAATGACTTTAGAATAGATGTATATAGGAAAGATATAGCATTCATAGGGTTTGGTACTATCTGCAGTTTCAGGCACCCATTGGGGATCTTGAAATGTATCCCCTGTAGATAAGGGGGAAATGGTGTACTAAAAGCACCCAGTTCTTGAAATTTTCTGAGTAAAGGACTATAATAGAACAGAATTGCAACTGTAAGAAGGCCAGAATGATCAGAGTATTATGAGCAAGCACAGACACTGAAGAGGTGAATTCATATCATGTGGCTTCTTGAGCCACAGCAAGGATTTGGATTCTAAATTCAATGGGAAGCCACTGAGGGACTGTAAGTAATGGTGTAAATTATCTGTTATAATTTTAATTCTGCAGCTGTATAAAAAATGAATTATAAAGGAGGAAGACAGAAAGTACAAAATCTAGTTATAAATCTAATATCTGAGCTAAGAGAAATGGTGGCTAGGACCAGGGTATTAGCAGTAGAGATAGAGAAGTGGCCAGACTGGGGCATAAATTAGGTAAAGACTCAGCAAGAATTGCAGATGTATTTGGATATAGGGTACTAATGAGAAAGAAACTAAGATAACTCCTGGGTGCTTATTTTGAGCAATTGGCTGATGGATGGTGGTACCATCTTGATAAAGGGAAGAGAAAGAGAAAAATAACTGTATGGGTGGGGAGCATTAGGGGAAAGACACAAATCTGAGCCAGCTGTAACCTCTCCCCAATCAGTCAAGGAGGGAATCCAAAGATGATCACTGAAATAAGAATTCAAGAATATACCACCTTAGTGTAACTCAAGGCCATCACTGCTTCTTTACACTCATAGTGCTTAAGGGGGGGGGGGGGGGCTGGAATACACAAGTACAGAAACCAAGAGATGTTAGGCGCATTGGGCTCCCCAGAAATGAGTCTAAAGCTCTGCCTCACTTATGCCTCCTAAATCTTTTCTGAGTCTCATTTACTGAGCCAATCTTGCATACAGAACCTTTGCTACAAAGGAGTCTGGGTAATGTAGTTTTTACACGTCCTACCTTTGTGAATCAGGAAGACACACTAGGAGAATCAAGGGCACCATACCACTATATACGAACATAAAAGGTGTGTAATTTACTACCACCGTCATTTGGATTATACATGGTAGCACCCAGTAAATACACAGACTTCAAATAACCAACGCTCTGGAAATCTACTTAAGATGGAATGTGGGGGCGAGGGGAGATCTAATGTAGGGGCATTGAATAGAAACTAGAGTAGAATCCACTGTTAAAGAAGAACTTGCATTATCTAACACAGGTAACTCATAATGGGAAAAGCAGTAATTGGAATTAGCTGTCCTACCAGCCTGAGCCCAGGGGTCCTAATGACCACCAGCAGCACCCCTCCCAGCATCTGACCCCTTTGAGGAGGTAGCCTAGAGTACTGGTTAAGATAGCAATCGGTTTCAGGAGATTAAGACAGTGCCTTCTGTGTGTTTTGATCATCACCACTATTTGGAAGCTATTTCCATGACTGCTTATGCAGGCAAAAACGACAGAAATGAAAACAAGGAAATCACTACTAGGTCGCTGGTAAAATCTGATCAGAGGGCAATGGCCCCGAACAGAAAACTAGAAAACTACAAACATAAATCCAACTGCTGAAAACAGTGTATTGGAGAATAATGAACAGTGCAGGTATGTGGGGATGCGTCGGCCCCGCGCACCACCGAAGCCCCCCGGGGGGGTTACAGTAGGTGCGCTGCGGGGTTGCTGTTGCTGTTGGCAGTGGTGGTGGTGGTGGCGGTGTCGTCCCAGGGGCAAGTCAAGGGGAAAGACACGTGGGCAGAGGGGAATACCCAGGGGGCAGGGGTTCCAGGTGGGGACGACCCCGGCCCCCATCCGGGAGCCCTCACAGCGCACAGAAGTAAAAGGCTGCGCCACCTCCTACGCCAGCGCCCGCCCGCCGTGACGAACGCGGCCCCTTTAAAACCCATGTAAACAAAGCTTTGTTCCCCCAGCTCCCCTCCCTCGCGCTCCCCGGGCCGGCTCCTTCCTCCCACCCAGCGTCTCGGGGCCGCTGACGTTGCCCGCGCCTTTACGCCGTCCCAGCCGCGCTGCGCATTCTCCAACCACGGCCGACCCGCCGGGGCCTGCGCAGCCGAGCGGCGCTACGCCGCGAGCGTAGCGCGACGAGCCCCCAGCGCGCAGGCGCAGCGGCGACGGCGGCGGCG